ACACTCCTGGGAAAAAATAAAAAATTTAAAAAGCCCATCTGCCCTTACACGAGCGACTGGGGCACACAGCCTGCCCCATGCGTGTGTGTGAGGGGTGTGGGAAGCAAGCAACGCTTGCTCCTGCTTTGCCGAGGCGGCTGGAGGGAGCAGCCAGGAGGAAAACAGGCTGCTGAGGCCCACGCGGCGCCTGCAAGGCCTGCGGAGCGGCCTAGGGGCCTGGCTGCATCGGTGCCTGCGTGCAGGGGATGTGTGTTGGTGCTGCGAGGCCTTCGCCTGCGTGTGCCAGCCTCCAGAGGGGATTTGTGCACCGGGGAAGCGCCAATCCCCGCACCACCAGCGGAACCGGTGGTGTCCCCCTGCTCTGTGCATGCTCAGCGGCACTGGGTGCTCTGCTGCAGAGGAGACGCCCAGTGCTCTGTGCATCAGGCCTGCTGCCTCAGTGGGCTTTGCACCTTTCTGGGGACCGGGGGGCTCTGCGGTGTCCCCAGAGCTGCCTCTCCGGAGCATTGGCCCTGTCACTGAATGTGAGAGGCCAGGGCAGACTTGCTGTGTTTATCTGAAATAAAAAGTGGGCTCGTTTGCCTTGGCAGCTTTGCAGTAAATATGTGCTCGAGCTGGGGCTTTGTCTGGAGAGCAGCAATGACACTCATTCCCATGAGCCTCTCAGCCACCTTTCCAGGCCATTCCCGATCCTGATCCCCATCCCAGCAAGAGGTGTAAGTGGGAGCCAGTGTTGTGATTGTTCCATGCTGGATTGGCACTGCAGGCCTCAGGCAAGTGGTCCCCATAGATTCATAAGTTCAATTTTGGAGTGACTCCCCCCGCAAAAAGCCTTGAAATTACCTTGTTTCAGAAAGCTGTGGTGCAGTGTGTGGAGCAGCGATCTCCTCAAAATCACAGGTCTCTGACCGAACTGGGCCCCACTGTGTCCCACCTCCCCTTCTCCTTGCTCTGGAGTGATTCATGTCCCAAGCCTRGCCCCTGCCACTTTCAAGCTCATCTAGGAGACTGAAAATCAAGACTCCACCATTCATTATTTTCCCTCTGTCCCCATGATTTAAGTCGCCTCCCCTGTGCTCATCACAGCTCCTTGCAGGCCTTCTCCGGCCATCAGCTCCAGCGTCTCCAGTCCCTTCCCCATTGCTATGGAGGCAGAGGGAAATCATGCAGCAAGGACACAACGGGGCCTTCTCCACCCCSCGGCAAACACTCCTTTCCAGCAGCGAGAGCTTAGCAGAAATGCTAAATGGAGTTCGCTATTTGGATAAGGATTTTTTTTAAGGACTCAGGCATATACATGGAGTTTGCCACTCAGGAAGTTGAACTAATTGTCGTTTCCTATAATGCAACAGTTCTGTCTTCTCAATGCCGGCTTTGTATGTGCCTGTGTGCAAGGGGGAAAGAGGGAGCGAGTGGATACGTTTATTCAATTATTTAAACACACAGAGCAACGCTGAGARGGACAGAGCTCCCGACAGGAACCCTCCAGCTTCCCAG